GTTCTTATTTTCTTACTTATTTATGTGGATGACATGTTATTGATTAGTCCTTGTGTGAATACTATAAGCATGTTAATGACTGTTTGAGCAATAAGTTTGACATGAAATATTTGGGTGATGCAAAGAATATTCTTGATATGAACATTATTAGAGATAGGGCTGCTTTTACACTTTTGTTAAATCAATCTGCATATATTGAGAAAGTCTTGAAACGATTCTGTATGTCCAATGCAAAGTCAACTAATGTGCCTCTAGCTTCTCATTTTGTGCTAAACAAAGATCAATGTCCTAAGTCTGAATCTGATATGAATTACATGAAAGACGTGCCATATTCGAATGCTATAGGCTCTGTGATGTACTTGATGAATTGCACTAGACCTGCTATTGCATATTCTGTGAGTTGTTTGAGTCGTTTCATATCTAATCCTGGAACTGAACATTGGAATGCAGTCAAGTGGTTATTTAGATATTTGTGTGGTTCTAGTAACCTAGGGCTAAAATTTGGAAAATGTGTTGAAGGAGTAAAATTGAAAGGTTATGTGGACTCTAATTATGCGGACGATAGAGACAATAGAAAATCTACAACATCCTATGTGTTTACTTTGTATGGCTCATGCATAAGTTGGAATCACAACTCCAACATATTGTTGCTCTATCTACTACTGAATCAGAATATGTTGCGATAACTGATGCTCTAAAGGAAGCACTATGGCTAAAAGGTTTGCTTTCTGAAATTGAAATATTGCGTGACAATGTGACAGTCTATTCTGATAGTCAGTCTGGAATCCAATTATGCAAGAATCCTGTTTTTCATGATAGAACCAAACACATAGATGTTAGGTTTCATTTTAACCCTGCGGATATGGGAACCAAATGTCTGCCTGTTTCCAAGCTTCAATCATGCTTAAATATGTTAAATTTTGATACATTGGATTAGAACCGTGTCTGCTCTTCATTGATAGCATGTATTATTTCTCTGTGATTACTATATGCTCTACAAAATTGACTCCGTGTTAAGATTGCAGGAATAATGGCGATGATGATAGCATGTTCCCACTCTCGATTGCCATCCAATGTAACCACGAGGGTCGACTAGAAACAAGGTAGAGATTGTTGGTGTGTTTCTGCGTCAACCCACACCCAAACCCAGATCCGACCTGACCCTGTCCGACCCGATCCAGAAACGACCCGGTTTGTTTTTTATCCCCTTAAATCAAACCGATCTCTCCCCATTTTGTTCGATCATTTAAATCGGTCTCTCATTCGTTCCGTCATTTACGGTGCTATCCCTATTTCTTCGAGATTGATCGAGTCAGCCATGGGTGTTGATAAGGTAAAGTTGTTCCCTACTATTTTGGGTTCTATTTATCCGCCTCTTCTCTATATATATGGGTTTGGGATTTTGGGAGAGTGGTGTGTCGAGTTCGCTATTCAGTTCTCTGTTATGTGAGCGACGAACCTACTGCCTTAGCCTATCGACTTCTCTTGTTATTTTTCGTCCTGATACTGAGTGTGCGAGAAACACTATAGGGTTCTTAGGTTACTTCGTGTTAGGAACCACCGCAATCGACACCTTTATGGGTTACCTCGTAGGACGACTTGGAGTTGGCGAAGGAGTGGCTGCGATCTGAGCCTACACTACCGATTGATCTATCTCTCTTTTAAATTTTTAACATATATTTCTGTTTTACATTCTTAATCTTCGTTTTTATCCGCACTAATTATTTGGTCACTGTTGGGATTGGGTCAACTCAGCACGGATTTGTTTTTGGATATCCTCCAAAAGGCCTCATACTAGTGGAGTTCACTTGGGACTTATAAGGTGTGAAATTTTTTTCACAGCTTCTGATGTAGGACTTGAGTTTGCGCCCCAACAATCCTCCCCTCAAACCAAGGACCAACCAATGGACCTTCCATGCCCACCTTATGCCGCCTATTACAAAGGGACCCGCTGCCTGACCACCTCAATCGGGACCGATCCAACACCGTCAGGAGACTTTCGACACAAGGCACATCCGCAGGTTACGAGGGCGAGCCCACCACCACAACCAATGCCCAATGCCACCCAGTCCAGTTCACCATATAACCGGGCTCTGATACCACTATTGGGACTGGATCAACTCAACACTAGTATGATATTGTCCGCTTTAGGCTGAGCCCGCACGGATTTGTTTTTGGATATCCTCCAAAAGGCCTCATACTAGTGGAGTTCACTTGGGACTTATAAGGTGTGAAATTTTTTCATAGCTTCCGATGTGAGACTTGAGTTTGCGCCCCAACAACCACCATTCCTTATCTATAGATTATTCCCAAATTACTAAGATAGGTTCTATCCCATGACTTGTTGATAACAGACCAAGGACCAAACTATCGAGAAATTGAATAGGCCAAATAGAATTGGGAAAGATTTCGTATTTCTCGCAAATTAATTTCTTCCAGAGGGCTAAGTTATTTTGGAAATGCCAAGCCCACATGGTAACTAGAGCTTTCTTCAAGGAGTCGAGGGAAATTAACCAAAGGCCGCCAAACTTCCTTATTAGGCAGATAGAGTTCTAGTTAGAGAACACTATCCTTCTACCATCATCGGATGTGCCCCCAATGAAATTGTGGAACTTAGATTCAAATTGAATATGGAAGAGAAATAAAGAGGCAGACTAAAGATCCAACTGACCAGGTGGCTCTGCCACTGAAAGACAAAGTTTTACCTTTCCATACAGAGTCTAGCACCCACTTTGCCCAATAAAGACCTTCCAAGAGAATACGCTACGTGAAAGAATTCAACAATGGTTGATTCCCAATAAGCGCGGATATCAGACACCGAATCAGAAATGAAGTCCAAACAAGATGCTGCAAGCTTGACTCAAGGATAGAATCAAACTCAACCGAGTTAGAATAAGCATTGGACACCCAGGTTCACAAAAAATACTAGACAAATACTTAAACAAGCCCATTTTTATATCTTTGATTGAATTCAGCTCTACCCTATTTACATTTTAAGAGTAAATCTTGTTGGAGAGCTGCCTGGTCACAATTGATCTTTGGAAGAATTTGGACACCAACAAAATCCATGAAATTCTTGATTTTTGTCTTCAAATACCATTGTATTTCTTTATAAGATTCCATAGATAAGATTTGCATGAAAGAGTCTCATCCCTAAGGGAATAATCATCCAGGTTGTCCAATAGCCTATTCCAAAATCAAGAGCTGGTTTGAAAGGGCATCAATTTCAGGTCTGTAGACTACAGATTATAGCCACTCCAGCCATTGCTTTCCTTTAACTTATTCAATTTACAAGGGATTTTCTATGATTACTAGATTTAGTTTGTTAGGATAGTTTTCCTACACCTATATATATATATACTTCCCTTTCTTTTCCCCTTAAATAAGAATATCTTGCCCTCTATTTCTCTATATGATTTCAGAGCCATTTAGGGTTTAGGCAAACTCATACTTTCCAGCTGCCAACACTTCCTCCTTAAACCCTAATCTAACTAAAACTCTAATTATTCTCTTATACCAATTTGAGTCATCTTTGTACTCAAACAACACCAGAATCTAACTCCTTACACACAAGCACTTCCAATCACAGTGAGAGGACTGCTTTCCTCCACCGCAAGCGCCACCACCAAATTCCGGAGATTTCTTGATTCCGGCCATTTTTCGGCCTTTTTCCGACAGAAACTTCAGACATGCACCACACCGGCCATTCTATCTCTTTTGATACATATGGCTGACTTTTTTAAATCAATTGGTACTAGACACCTCTGTTGCAGTGTACCTATTGTAGGTCATACTTAAGGATGTTGCTATAGCCTTCGTGCACGCGCTCTTTGTACAACCAATGCAGTTGCTTCCAACTTGAGTAAATGTTCGTCACCTAACTCCATTACCATAAGTCGTGCCAATTATGATTCACTTCTAGTATTTTAGCCATCTAAGCTTTTCCACTCCTTTAGTAAAGAAGTATCTACGCAACCATTTGCAGACCAAGGGAGCATCTACACAACTATTTTCAGACTAAAGACTTGGGACAACAACAGTGGTTCTTAGGAATTGAAATTGCCCAATCAAATAATAGTGTTATCGTATCTTAGAGAACATATATTCTTGATACGTTAGGAATAAACAAGCATGAGTGAATGTAGGTTGTGGATTCTCCTATGAATCCAAATACAAAGTTGCTTTCTGGATATGAGAGTTATTGATTGATACTGATGTCCAACGATATAGAATGATAGTTGAAAAACTCAATTATTTCACTATTGCCCGACCAAATATATCATTTGCGGTAAGTGTAGTAGGTCAGTTCCTGCAGTCTCCATGTGACTCTCATTTAAAGACACTTATGCGTATTTTGCAATATATTAAAGGGTCTCCCAGAAAATGTTTACTTTATGCAAATCATGGTCACTCTAAACTTTTTGGATATTCAGATGCTGATTGAGCAGAGTCTCAAGTCAAAAGACATTTATTATGTGTTTGTTGGAGGAAATTTGATATAGATATAATTTAGTTAAGATGTTTTTATAACAAATACTAGATTTAGTTTGTTATGATATTCTCCCCTATTTCTCTACAATGTTTATGTTGAGTATCCCACATTGGAAGAATGTTGAGAGCTCCCCTTCTTTATAAAGGTGAAAGGAAACTCCTCTTATCATCGATGGAGTTTCGGATCCCTTCTTAACATGGTATTAGAGCCATAATTGTCCGTATTTGGTAGACTATTGATTCTGTTTTCGAGATGAATATCACCTTGAGGGGAGAGTATTGGAAGAATGTTGGGAGCTCCCATTTTTATAAGGGTGAAAAACAACTACTCTTACTGCTAATTAGTTTTAAGATGGAGCCTCGGATTCTTCTTAATAGTTTACAATATGATTATCAAACAACGATGCAAAATAAGGTGTTATGGGCTCATATAACAATGTCAAAAACATGTAACGTTGACTACACGTTATGGAGAAAAAAGAGGTCAAATATGAGCCAGAAATACTTACTCATCCTTACAATATTGGATTGAATCAACATCAGAAGCTAGAGCTTCTCTCTCTCTTGTTAATGGGATTCTTTGATATGCTATATTGTACTCCTCATGCCTCAAAGCTGCATACACCTCCGCAGGAGTTCTAACATCATCTACATAAATAGTCTCCCAGTACCCTATAACAGTAGCTTGGTTTAGTGCTGGGTTATATTCTTCACGGTGCAAAAGCATCCTACCGCCAGATTCTTTTATCTCAGCAATTATATCTTCCTTTAAACGTGCCTCCATGTGTTCTACCTGTAAAATGAAATAAGTTACAAATTCGAAAATTATTCTAGTCCAGCAGATTTCAATCCTGCAACAATATTTTGGAATGATAGTATACCACTGAACCAGTGATTCCTATATGTTTGAGGGTGTCAATAGGCTTATTTAATTCCCGTAGAACAAAAGGCGTGTTGTTGATATACACAACTGCTTCTTCCCTGAGATCAGTTAAAACAACTTTCTCTGGAGCACTTCTCTCTTCTGTGGGATTGGCACCTAAATAGTTTAACATCTCTCTGGCACCTGTAATTGTGGGGGTTGCCATGCTATATACAGGAAATCCATCCACCTTAAGAGAAAAAAAGACTTCAAATGAGTTTTACTTACATTGAATCTTCTTATCACAGCAGAATCACAACATAAATTACCAAAACATATATTGAACATTACACTTGCACTACCATAAACCAATCAATTGTGCTAACAAACAGATCTATCTCACAGTTGACACAACCTTGTTTACATGATTACCATTGCATCCGTCCAGATAAAACTAGAAAAGTGCTCAAAATAGAAATTCAGCAATCTACATATTTTTACTCTGATGACATCACATTTCCCACATAAAAAACCTAATGTGATTAGTATTAGTACTATAATCCACACCCCACCCCACACCACCGCCTCGAATTTCTAAAATCAAATCCAGTCATGGCAAATGTGTGTTTAAGTTAGTAATTCTGTAAATGGTTTATGGGATGGTGTCCCATACTAGACGCAACTATCAAGGCATTAATCTTGGGTTAAGCTGTCAAAATTTGACCTTCCAAGATACCTTGTAGACATGTGGTGCCCCCTGGATTTGAATGTTGCTGGAAGTTCTTTGTCCAGGAAAGAAATACATTTTAAGAATAGAACCTTTCCCCAAAACCGAACCATTACGATCCTTCACAATTGCCTCCATTACAGCATCTCCATGTTGAGATTCATGTGGAGCTCTCAAATCCTCCTGTATTGAAAAACCTAAGGTCCCATCAATCAGATGGAAATAGAAACACGAAACATTGACAGGATCTATTAAAGGAAAGATGAATTACAGGGACAGTAAAGAATCTCCCAGGTCTCAATCTGATGGACCATTTCATTGCTTGAACCTCTGCCCTTTGATGTAACCAACTCTTAAACGTCATTCTTGATTCACCTTGCCCACAAAAGCCATCAAATGCTTCACTTCCAAGATATGCAGCAAATGCAATTAAACGAAAATAGCGCTCCAAATACTCAGCACCACGGTTCAAAGCTACACTTCTTTCTCTTGGTTCCACATGCTGCTGATTAAATAGCTGTCTGTATTGCAAAACAGCTTGGCGTATATTCTGCAGTGCCGAACACCGATCTATTATATTATCTAATGCTTCCCGACATTCCACCCCATTATCAAATAATCTTGTGATTTTCCACAGAAATAGAATGTCATTAATTCCAAATGAATGACCCAAGTAATCTTTCTCTGTCCTATTCTTTTCAAAAACAGGTATTGATGCAGAAACCTGATCATTTTCATCAACACTACGGCTGACCAAATATTTGTGTGGTGAGTCATCAACTAACAATCTAATAGGCCTTCCATAATCAATTCGGAGTTTCAGAAGGCAAGCAATAACAGTACCTGTTGTTGTCCTTCCGATTCCCATCTGCAAACTTCACATCATAAGGAAGCCAGCACAAGTAACCACTAATATAGAACTCAAATAAGCAGAAAGAAGAAAGAAGAAAAAAGAAAAAGAAAGAAAGACCGATGTATTATAATTTAATTATAAAACCTTAAATAAGAAATACCTGGCAGTTAAAAACAAAGGCAGTATTTCTAGAAGCGGATACAATATTCACAGCCAACATATCAAAATCCGAACTTTTTGGAGCTTTTCCATCAGTTATTGGAACACGAGCATATTTTATTGGGAAACCATCATCTTCAAAACACCTAAATACGTCCCTTGGAGTCTGAACAGCAAGTAAGCTCACATGTTCCCAAGCATCAGATATTTTCCCATCATCAGTTTCATGGATGACCATTATAGCACCATGATAACGTTCAGCTTCTCTCAAAATATCATCTTTCAGCCGAGCTTCCATTCGTTCAACTCTTTCACAATCAATCCCCTTAATATAGATAGCACATTAGAGGGAAGGGAAATAATAAATTTGTTCTTCTGTATGATGATAGGGTTAACAATCCAAAACTAATCTTGAAATCAACATATGAATATTATATACCTAACCAACTTATTTGTCTTGATAATAATATTATATAATTTTACAGCAGAATCAACCTTTTTTCCTAGAGAGGACTATCCAGAATATATAGTTGCAAGCCAAAATGAATAGAGATATTAGAATTAGTAATATTTGTGATCTATTCACAAAGTTCATCATAAGATAGCATATGATCAATTAGGCATCACATGAAAATGCATAAGCATAAAGAGCTAGCAACAGAAGAAAAGGGTATCAACTCTGATAATAAGTAGCTCAAAATTCTGTATTTCTGAACACAAAAGCCAAAATTCATCCCTTCCTAGTATGAAAGTGCTTCAGTTATAACACATAAGGCTCATTCTAAGGATCAAATCTATGAAAAGGAATGATATTTTCTATGAAAGTTTGAAACAGCTTAAACTTAGAAGCCATTTTAACCCAGCTAAAGATTTTTACGAATAAACACAGGGAAAATGAGAAAATCAAATAGGAAATGCAACTGTGCTAAGAAAAACCACAAGTTAAACCAAGTTATACATATTTAAAATAAAAAAATAAAATAAAATAAAAACTCTACAGTGCCACAGATCCAACTTCATGCTCAAACACGTGTCATAACAGATTGGAAGCTCAACCATGCAGCCAAAACTCAATTTAGAAGGTTATAGGAGACGCAAATGACAAGCAACTCAAGTTTTTGTCATGTTTTGCATATTTGATAGTTCAGAAATCATGGAATAGATGCTGTACCGTGTACTCCAGCATATTTTTGTATGGTCTTTCTACTTCACGAAGAACAAATGGTTTTCCATTGATGTAAACTACAGGTTCTTCTCTCATATTGTGCCAATATACCGGACGCCCACCCTTTGAACTACCAATCCTTTGTATGACAGATCGAATCCCATCCACAGTTGGATTAGCAACACCATAAACTGGAAATCGGGGAATTTCTCGAAAATTGGGAGCTCCCTCCAGTCTTTCTGGTAAACAGGGATGCTGACAACCCGGACAATGGTCACTTTTAAGAATTGTTTGACTTCCAAGAACCTCTCCATTCCTTAAAGCAGCAACTTGACTCATCTCCAAAGGGCGACCATCAACAGATATACCACTTTCAATCTGAGATGGTTTTACAGTGGAATAACCTAGAGCCCCCATTGGGTCTCTTCTCAGTAACCTGCTGATGACATCAAATGTAGTTAGAGCATGATATTGACACACTGGAGATCAAGGACTATCCTCACATTGCAAAAATCTGACAAACTTGTCAGCAAGGTTCACACTTGCAATGAAAATAAATTCAGAATTGTTAAAGAAGTTGACACACAAAAGTAACCCAGGTCCCCTACAAAGACCAATTAAATGATTCTCGTGGCCCCTTTCTCCCATGTAAAACATAAACTCAACTAGTGCAAATTTTTATTAGCTCTCCGTCACTTGTTTGTTTGCCACTAATACCGTTCCACCTGCTAGCTGTGTCTAATACTCACCTTAGTGGTCTCATTCTAGCAATATCACTGAAGGGATGTTGGTCTCGTAATGAATGTTCAATCACACAAGCAACTTCATATTGTTAGTACTTTAGCACCAAGGACTTCCTTATAAGTTATAACCATGTATGCTGCCAAGTTCCAAGAAGATATGGTTTTATAATATACATAATTACACACAAAATCTCTATTGTAACTGAAAAAACTCATATTTCACTAAAGGATCACTAATCATGTAGGGTTATCTTCATACCTTAGGAAGTTGAACTTAAGATTCATTGCGAAAGAGCAGTAATTCTTAAGGAAATAATGTGCTTAACATGTGGATTACATATCATATAAGAGTTAAAATCTTAGACCAGTATAAACGTGTATTAAAGGAAATCAAACTAGATTTCACTATTATGTAAGTTCAGACAACAAATAGATTGGTATTGTAACGCAACTTTCAGATAGAATATATTATACTACCTCCGTGATTCAAATTTGTGCTCAAATGTTTGGACATAGTTTTAATAAAAGTGGATAATAATTGTTATTCTTTTTACTTTCATAGTAAAAAGGTACAAAAAATAGTAGTGTGCCTTTTTTCCAAAAGAAGAAATGAAAAAATTGTTATGACAACTCAAAAAAAGAAAGTGAACATAGATTTGAATAACAGATGAAGTAACATTTTTAGTATTTGTCAGCGTAAGGAGGAAACAGTCTAGTATCTTTTTGGGTAAGGAAAAATATAACTAGATTACAAGATAGAGTTATAGAGCTTAGGTCCCTGAAAATGGAGAAACGAATTACAGCTAAACCATTAATTCTTTCCTAACCCTGGCACTGTGATTAGCGAAATATGCTAAAAATGATAAAGGGAGAATGTTCAATAGCAAGGCAGAGCCTATTAATGCTGAAGTTCAGTCTCTAAAGAGGAGTGAGACCATAAATCCAATCAAGAGCATTAGTTGTCTCACACTCAACCACATGCTAATCTCACTGACAGTAAAGTGAATGCGTGAAAAATACTAGTTGGAACTCAAATATTAAAGTTCAACATACTAATCAAACATCCATAATTCCATACTCGAGTTGAGGTGAGTGTCAAGAAGCAAACTGGATTTGTTTCATAAATTCTATAGTAAAGAAATCAATTGGGCATATCTAAAGCCATAATAATATGTTGATTTGGTTTCATAATTAGTTTCATGAACTAAATTTGAAAACAGAATTCTATTTCCAGCAACAGAAATACTGAATAAAGCTACACAATAAACACTATTCTACAAGTGAAATATGAATACAGAAACCCTGAGTTAGATAAATCCTACTCCTATAGGAATAATAAATTATGAAGCGGCAGAAGGCTTGTAACACTTTTCAGGATGAATGTGGGGATTCTTTGTTGAACAAGCAATGACAAAAAGATTCAAATAGTTCATGGTGCAATATGGTCCTCATTATTCAGGACACATATGAACATGTAGACAACAGGTCATGCATTATTTGCATGACAGAAGTCGACTAGATAACATATAGAAACCCCAAGGGCCCAAAAGTCAAACAGCACTTAGACAAAATCAGAAGTCAAGATTGCTCACAACATGCAATCACAAAGTATATACATGCCACTTAGACAAGTATAAATGAACCAAGTGATGTTTGTGTGTGTGTGAGCTTCTTTAGCACAACTTAAATGGCCACCTGATTTACAAGAACTCAAAGAAGAGAGATCCACCGATTAATATATTGGACAAAATCTTTACTTCAAGTGATTGGATGTCTCAAATTTATAGTGACACTAATAATCACAAGATGCTGCATCCTACCTGCGCAGAATACTATAAAGCTCTGGTCTAGCTCTCATCCACTCAGTGAAACTGCATTGGGTAGAACATATAGGAAGTAGATTTTCTCTTTCTGTATGTAGATATACGGCAAAGCATATCAAGAAATAGTATCTCTCCAAATACTCCACAAAAAAGGAAAGGGATGCTTCCCTTTTCATTTCATCAGCTTGACAAAGTATACTACTTCGATAACAAGCAATAGCTTCACGCAGATTCTGCAAATAAGGCACTCGCATGACAGTTCAGAATGTTAGCCCAGGAAGCATCACTTTTAATCTCAATACATGTTCCAACAATATGCACATGATGTAACTAAGAAAAACCTGCATAGAGGCACATTTGTCGATAACTTCATCCACCTGCCTTTTGCCTTCAATGCCACCCTTGAGGCATATTTTAAGTCAATATAAATTCAAACAAACCACCTAATCCTTGAAGAAGGAATATGCTTACGTTTGTACCTCTAGAACTCGGATAAGGCTTCTAATGACTGCATACTCTCCTCTACGAATAGCCTCCTCTGAATTCGGTAGATCAGATGGAATGCTTGAACTCAAATCAGAAATTTTTCCCATAGAATCAATTCTTGGAATATCTGCGAGCAAATTCGTACATGCATAATACATTTACTTCTACAATAAACTGGAACAAAAAGAGATATTCACATCAAACATAAACTCTACCTAGTCACAAAGTTGTACAGGCATTCATTAATCTATCATGTTAAACTCGTCAAAGAGATACCAAGCAACCGCTTGCCAGAGAATAATACAAGAGAAGCAGCCATAACTAAGAAAATCTTATCAACACCACAAGGCAATTTTTATATCACATTGTAATATCCTTCCGCAGAAATGACGGAAATAATTTTCTTGGTGCATTTGGAAATTGATCAGGTATTTTAATTTGGATCAAGAATTTCATAAGGCTGAGCTGAGAAAATTTAGGTTAGTTAGGCCAGTCAAGTAGTGTTCAGGCTGTTGTGAACAACTGAGGGTATTATATTCGTCTATGTAACTCAATCACGCTTACACAACTTATTCCTTGCAACGGGCTTCTATGTTTCTCCCATTTAGCTTAGTTAGGCCAGTCAAGTAGTGTTCAGGCTGTTGTGAACAACTGAGGGTATTATATTCGTCTATGTAACTCAATCACGCTTTCAAACTTATTCCTTGCAACGGGCTTCTATGTTTCTCCCATTTAGGAAACTAAGGTGAGTAGGGCTCATCTTAAAGTACAAGGCATCAGGTGGATGAGTGAGCGTGTCACACTAGTCTATTGTACGTCTAAATTAAATTTCTAAATTGAATTTTGGCATCAAATTATCTCATTTATCCATGATTATCTCTATGTTAAATTTATTTTATAAGTTCATGTTAGTTAGCCCTATCATTGTGCTGAGAAGGTATGATAAGTTCATGTTAGTTAGCCCTATCGTTGTGCTGAGAAGGTATGACGGTGATATTCAAGCTCGAGTAAACTAGAGTGCCACACACATCATCATAAATGATCCTTCTAACATTTTTTTACCAGTTACTTTTTAAATTTCTAATTCATTGAAACGCCGCACTAACATTTTAAGAAATCTTATTTCTATTGTCCATATTACTTGCTAATGTAATTTTCACAGTCAAGCATATACATTACCCAAATATCAAGGAAATTAGATGGGAATAGATAGGGAGCAGAGACAAGAGCTTGGGTATGAGGAGGGGACAAGGCCCTGTTGATGTACCAGAGACGGGGACGGACTTAGGCTTGCTTTGCATATTTGGCCTTTTATTTATCATTCTTCTATTGTTTCTTTGTTTGGACTTCTATCTATAGGCTTTGATTGGGCTTCTATTATTTCTTTAGGGTATTTAAAGATGTTAATTAAGGTTTGAGGGGACACTTTTTACATTATTACTTGACTTTGACATTGAGACACCCAAAAGCCTACGAAATATCAAGTGCTCTAGACAGGTAACAGTGAAAGAAAATATGGTTTCTATAAGCATGTGCTATATCAGAAATCAGAAATGCCATTACAAACAAAATCTGGTGTAAAAGCTCCTCTTTACCATATAACATTCCTCTTTTAATAATGTGTGTAACATGTATAAGGGCATCCATACTGGTTTACCTATTACAAATTTTGGGGAAAAAATAAAATAACTCTTAGGAGAATAAATGAGGGAAATGGTTATATAGGCATACAGTCATGTTGGTCCACGAAGCTTAAAAAGCAACAAAATCACCTGAAGCTCCAATTCTATTAATGTATATCAGTGTTGCAATCACCATTCCTGTTGTTGTTCTGCCACGCCCCATTTGGCAATTGAAAACAATCTCTGTCCTTAAATTTGCTTGCGAAATTCTGTGAACCTAAAAGGGATATGGGCATACAATGTATCATTATTTAATTAACAGCTTCACATGAAAGCATGAAACTGAATATAGTAGCATATTTAGAGAAAAAGTAGATACTAAACTGCATACATTTGCCACAATCATGATTTATATGCATAATTTTATGTCAGTGGTAAATAGAAAGGCAAATCACATATTAATGGGTGAATTCAATAGTCTATTTAAATCTATATGACACATATAAGGTCATTTGAGTAATATTTTGTCCAGGTTATGAACAACTGTTTGCTCTAGAGGTAACTTGTTTGAGGTTATCTTTTTGCACTAGTTCCAAAACAAGATGAATTTAAGTGGAAAATGTCATGCTGTTTTTTCCTCTCATTAGATATAACCCCCACGACGTATTTAGCAAGAAGTCAACGTAAGTCATCACTTATCGGAGAGCTCACGCATATAACTCTCCATTCTCCAAAGGCCTGTCAAGGCTCTTTATGGAGGAAACATACTCATCTATTACCTTTCATTTATTGTTGACTAAGCCTATACATCCAACTAAGCATTTCCTATATCAGTTGAAAAATGTTTGAACCAGGACCAGAAGTTGTGCAACTCAAGATAAGAAGAATACCCATCGAAAATCTATTTAATTAATAACCTTTTGGAAGTTGAGATCTCAAGCAACCTTCAAACCAATGAGATATACTAGAGTTCAGGTGCCCACCAATGTTGTTGCAAAAGCCTACGATCCACAAACCCACCTCATCCCTACTAAGTCCCCGGGAACCAAACGCCATCCACATTAACTTTAATCAATCTAGTTGGAAGTATAGACTAAGCAATCAGCTTGTGTCAAGCTATTTTCCCTTCCTTTGTTGGTACGATTCAACAAAAAAACAGCATCATTAAGAGCCTCATTTATAAGAAATTTAGGTTCTTAACCTTTTGGTAAGAACTGAAATTTTGTTTCACCCAAAACATGTTTTGCAAGCAATTTTTTAGATCCAGCCATTGACGGCACCATTAATGTGCTGACGATGGCTAAAGGGCTCAGATTTCAGCGCATCATCATCACATCCTCGATTTCAACAATCATTGCTAGCCCTAATTGCCTGGTTGATAGAGTCAAAGGATGAAGATTTCTGGAGTGATGCAGAATGATGCAAGCAAAAAGAGCTTTGGTATTCATTTTCTAAAATCCGGGCTGAAAAGGCTGTTCGAAAATTCACCCAGGAAAAAGGTCTGTTAGCTTGATTTTGCAAGTTGTGCTGATTCAGCAGGGGTCATCTCTCATTCGTCGTCAACCTTTATTCTTGGTTGAGCAACAGATTCTTATCCCAAACAATGCAATTTTCTAGCACCTTAATAGAGAAAATTGCATAGTTACAATTGAAGCAATTTGATTGCATAAAGCCCAAGAAAGGCATTTTGCATTGCACATAAAAGGATAAGATAAAGAGTCAGTCACCTTGAAAGGGTTTGCCTACCTGAAAAATATAAGAAAAATCACTTTTATCCTACTAGATTGACATTGGCTTCTTCAATTAAGTCAACATACATATTTCTAGTAACAGTGTCTGAGACCACACACACTTGGTTCGCTATGTTTAATTGAGAGGTTAAGTTTGGCAATTGAAAATGCAAGCGCAGTCATTTGCAAGGAATCATATCCTTCTTGTAGTATATGTTTGATATGCATCACAAGTAAAGGAAAGGGACTTTGAGAGCACTGAAAGTGACATGATTCCTAGGAAAATGGTATGAGAAATTTCATAATAGTAATACAGCAATGTCCCAGAAACATAAAATATACGCACATGTTAAATGATCAAAGCTCTTTTAATGATCAAAATTAATGTGTTTGCGTAAAACCGATTCCAAATTAGAGACTGACCAGAATATCAAAATCTTGCTCTTTGGGAGACTTTTCATCGGTTATAGGAACACGTTCATAGTCAACAAGGAAATGATTCGCCAGCTCCTCATACACCTGTCTTTCAGAATAAAGAACTCTTTAAGTAAATGTTTTTTTTTTTCTTCAATTATTTTTCAAATATGCACACCTGTAACGGTGTCTTGACAGAATCACATGAAACTGGTTCCCACTGATCAACCATTTGACCATCAGGTAGTTCATCAGTTACAAGGATTTTATTTCCATATCTGTTGATTCAAATGTTGTAAAAAAGAATTAACATCTCATTTTGAAAAAACAGCCAGTACTGACCATGAGCATTACCTTATAAAACTAAAATATTAATAAATAAAAGAGTTACCTTGCGGCTTCCATAAAGACATCTTCTTTTAGTCGATCTTCCATTTGCTCCACCCTGACCCTGTTAATACCCTACTTCCATTTGGAAAATGAATACTGGTGAAAGTGACTATAGAAACTCTGAATAAGCATGAATCAAATACCCAAAAATAACAGGATAAATAATAAAATATAGCGAGTTAAGATCGTATAAAAATTTCATCACGGAAGTTAACTGCGGCAATTTAGGAGCTTCCTTTTTCCTTAAAAAAAAAAAAAAAAATTCAACCAAGCCATGCTAGAATATCACCAAGCTATAGTGTGAAGCAAGTAATGAGTTAGTTTAAGATGCATCAGACCGATTCATAATGCTAATGAATTGACATGAAGCAAATTGAAGCAGATATGATGCTATATATAATAATAAATTGGCGGCAGCAGAATGAACGATTCCTAGAATCATTGTACAGATTTATAGGGCCTTCAAGCTGAACCTCAAATCATCTAGAATTACTTTGGCCAAAGACGTTCATATATCCCTTGGGCAATAGCTCTGAACTCAAATTTGTTGATGAACTTGCTACAATATTTTGTTTATTGTTTTTCCATATTACTAAGTTTCCTCCAAGAAAAGTGTAGTACCCAGTAGTTGATCTTCTCTCCGCTAGAGATCTAGCATAATTTGCACCCATACAGGCTTCTAGAGTAAAGGTATTGTGTCTTTGGGGGGAAAAGGAATTCCATTTCCTGGACTGCTCTTGAATTTACATCTTTATTTTCCAATTTCTATCAATGAAACAGTAACATATTTCATTGTGATATGAAGATTCCAAGGATGAGTAACTTTAATGCCAAGAAAATATTTCAACTTTCCCAACTCTTCTATTTCAAACTCGTTTCAACTCCATCTTCTATTTTTCATCATTTCTAGTGACTATGGTATCATCTAGATATACTGAGTTGCTACCCACCGGTATCCGAATGCTTATGAAGAGAATGTGATCTCCTTGGCTTTGGTGGTAATCAGAGGATTTCATAACTTTTAGCAAAACAACCAAACCAAGCTTTGGGTGATTGTTTCAAGCCATAGTCTTCTTAAACTTACATACTTTACCCACCTCACCCTCAAGTCCCCATGGCATATTCATGTAGATGTCCCCTGTCAAGTCCCCGTAGGAGAAAGTATTTTTTTTACAACATATTGTAGTAGTTCCCAATTCAAATACGTAGCTAGGGGCAGTATGATTCTAATGTTCATCTTAGCTACTATAGCAAAAATTTCCAAGTAGTCAATGCCATAGAGTGAGTGTATCATTTTGCCATGATCCGTGCTTTATATCTCTTAAGGGAGCCATTAGCTTTATACTTCAGTAAGAAAATCTATTTACAGTCAATTACATTCACCCATTTCAATTTGTTAACAATATTTTATGTTTGATATTTCTCTAGGGCTTTCATCTCCCCTATGCATCTTTTTATTCTTCTTTCAAAGCTACCTTAAATATTGGGTTAGAAATAACAATAGTATGTAGGCTCACAAGAAAGTTCTTATGGATTGGAGATAAGTGGTTGAGAGAAACATATTAGATAATGGGCATAGAGGTTTCTTGGTGCACTCTTGTTAAAATTGGCTAAATATCATCAAGGGGCCGGGGTGTCTAGCAATCGATTCTTCAATTGGCGCAACAATTGGTATCAGAGTCATGGGTTCTATGGTGAGATTTGATGTGGAGAAATTTGATAGAACAAGAAACTTTGCATTATGGTAGCATAGAGTGAAGGATCTGCTAGCACAACAGGGAATGTCGAGTGCGATGATGTCGAAGAAACCAGAAGGGACAAGAGAGGCTAAGTGGACCGAGATGTAGGTGAAGGTTGCTGCGACGATCAAGCTATGTTTGGGCAATGACATTATGTACCATGAGATGGATCTTCAATCACCGATTGAATCAGGGATAAATTGGAAAAGCAGTACATGTCGAAGTTGTTGACCCACAAACTACATATGAAACAACGGTTGTATGGGATGAAGATGTAGGAGGAATCTGATTTGGCGCAACACATCAACTCGTTTTATGTAGTATCTAACTTGCAACGGATTGAAATGACAATTAAAGATGAGGATCGGGCAATGATTCTCTTATGCTCTTTGTCGCCCTCCTATGAACAACGAAGATTGGCATTTACAATCGAAAAGTATACGATCACTCAGGATACAACGACAACGGCTTTACTTGTCCATAATGAGCGTCGACAGGCAAGTTCTGAGAGCATCCAGAATGAAAGACTACATGTGTGGGACAACAATGATCAAGGAAGGAAGCAGGGTCGAGATAGTTCGAGCGGTCGGACAACAGTGGTGGTAGAAGAATAATCGATCAGAATCAAGGAACACAAAGAATGTTTAGTGCTCTAAGTGCCATCAGTTCGGTTATGTTCGGAAAGAATGCCGAAATAAGAGCAAACAAGTAAATGGGCATGATGGAGAGTCTTCCTCATCTGCCAATTCGGTTCAAAATAACTCTTCGAATTTCAGTGATGGTGATATATTATTTGTTTCCACATAGAAGTCTGCAGATTGTTGGATATTGGATTAGGGCAGTGACAGTAGTAGAAGTCGGATGGAAAAGTAGTTGAGGAGGTGTGGGCAGGTTTAGAAGTCGATCTCAATAATTTAAAAATTTTTGGTCGTCTTGCTTTCATACATGTACAAGGTGAAGAGAGATCGAAGTTGGATGCGAAATCAAAGAAGTGTATTTTTTCTCGGTTATATAAAAAAGGTGAAAAGTACAAGTTTTGGGATCCGTCTACTCGAAAGACTGTGCTTCAGCAAGAATGTCATATTCAACGAGCAATCTATGGTTCATAGTGGAAATGTGGAGATATCCACGGAAGCTCATAATGCTCTCGAGCAAACCGATTCTATGCCTTCGCCTTCTACAGAGAAAGATATGGATTTATAGGCTCCTTCAAAAAGGCCTAAGCGTATAATTAGACCACCACAGCGTTATGGTTTTGAAGATGTTGTAACTTATGCCTTGGAGGGTGTTTCAGATGATCCACAATCATACAAGGAGGTTGTAGATGCACCCAAACTAGAAAATTGGCCATTGTTGTGGTTGAGGAGATTGACTTATTGCACAAGAATGACTCTTGGGAACTCGTGGAACTCCCAAAAGGAAAACAGACCATCGGTTGTAAATGGGTATACAAGAAGAAACCTCCAGTGTCAAAAAAATGAAAAAAAAAAAAATAACACAGAGTAATGGCAAAAGATACTCACAAAAGAAAGGTGTGAATTACTTGTTTGCCATTTAAAAAGGTCATTTTATGGACTGAAGCAGTCACCATGGCAATGGAACAAGAGGTTTGATTCTTACATGATTGCCATTGGTTTCAAATGATATAATGACTGTTATGTGTATGTTAAATACACTTTTGATGGTTCAATGTTTATTGTACCTTTATATGTGGACAACATGGTGGTCGCTGCTAGTAAATGGTCTGATATAGATAAGTTGAAAACCTTCGTTGAATAAGGAGTTTCATACGAAGAATTTGGGGTGGCTAAGAAAGATAATTGGAATGGAGATTCAAGGGATAGAAGTATAAACAAGTTGTGGTTGTCTCGGTCTGGTTATATGGAGAAATTGCTACACTGGTTTGGAATAAGTACACTTTAAGTTGATGAAAGGTCGGTCGCCCACTACGGCACTACCTAAGTTGATTGTGACAGGATGGATTTGGTCCCTTATGCTAATACAGTAGGGTGTATGATTCATTGTATGGTATGTACATGACCTAACTTGGCCTATGCAGTTGGTCAGGTAAGCAAATATATGTCGAATCCCAGAATAGAGCATTGGAAAGCAGTGAAATGGATATTTGGGCATATGTGGGAATATCAAATTATTTTCTTGCGTTTGGAAAAGAAAATAATTCATAGTGTTGGTTGGGTCTGCCGACTTTGACTATGCCGGAGACTTGGACAATAGGAGGTCAACCACTGCTTATGTCTTTATTTTTGGTGGAGGATGTTATAACGTAGGGTTAACCAAAAAGAGATCTTTATTCGAATCAAATGGAAGTAAAGAACCACAGAGAAAAACCAATTCGCTCTATTGAGTCCTATGGCCACGACGTTCAGTCATCATCATATCATGCTTTAAATGCAGCATTATTTTTTGGTGGACCAACTTCTAGAATGTGGTTGAGGTTTCTTTTCCATTTTAGGTAGGTGCGAACAAACTGAATCCACTTGAGGTAATTCCTCCCATTAAATCTATAGCACGTGCAAATATTATATAAATCTTCAATTTTTGGATTGCATATGCTTCTTCAAGTTGGTAAGGTTCTGGGGGCCATTGACATGGTGGAAGAAAAACAACAATCACGGTTGCAGAAAGCTTATGCGATTAAGGCTAAAAAAACGACAGATGGTAGGGCTGGCAATGAAGGCACAACCAAGATGCTATATTTGAGGCAATCAAAAGGTTCTTTCTGAACCAAGCTCTGATACCATGTCCAGAAATGAATGGGAAAATGTTTCGTATTGTATGGGTTGTTTCACATACTATATATCGGGATACACAAAAAGAATAAAAAAAAAAATCTAAACTGTTCCCACAATTCTAGGCAATAAATTAGCCTATCCTAATCCCTTGAAGTAAGGGATTTTAATTCATCATATTTCTATTTAATAATTTGTAAATCTACATTAATTATATCTACATCAATCTAGTCATATATTTCGACAAATGTATAGACACCATGGAACTTTTTATCAAATGTAACAAACAATACAGGAAAAAAAATAATAATAATTGGCAAGAAAAGAGGTGAAAATCAAAGATAGCACGACCGAATTAACATAAAGGAAAGACAAAAGGACAAATCAAGCCCAATTGAGGCAATCAATAAGAGTCCTAACCTCCGCAATTTGCAAGTGTTTTCAATTATATAGGAAACAAAAACAATTAGTTGAGTTAGAACCATCTTAGTCCAAATATTATGTATTTGTTAAATATGCAGTTGTCCGTTCTTATGTGTTTGGAAAGGAAAGACAAGAAAGCAATTGATGATTCATCATTCATAATTAGAAAACAAGTATACCGAATAGAAGTAATGTTTCATGCGCTTTACACACCGTGTATTCTAGATTCGAAAAAGGTTGCTCCACATCTCGCAGAACAAAAGGTCGACTGTTAATATAAACCACCTGTTTCATACACACATAATGAAGATATGAACATTACATTGAATTCCAAAATCCATGAACCATTGTTATCAAGGGTGTTTAAAAATGTGTTCCACGTTTGGCAATGCAAACTTTGATGTTAGGAAAAATAATAAGTAAGGAAGATACACCTGCACTGCTTATTTCATCGCTTCCTATTTTTAAATTCTTCCATGTATAAAAGTATTCCATATATCTCACAGAACCTGTAAAATGCAATGACCTAGAGTTTTTCGAATGCGTGCAACTAAGTGTGTATGTGCATTTACCGGCTCCTCACGAAGGTTTATCCAAAGTACACGTATCTGATCCCCTTTCATGTGAGCCCCAATGTGCGTGAGAACATTCCGGATGCCATCAATGGTTGGAATGGCAACACCATGAACAGGTAATGAATTTGCCTATATTAATGAGAATTGAGGTAAGCAACACACAATGTTATAAATCTTCAACACGTTGTCAGTATTTAAAGACATTTAAAAGCTTAGCATTGAGAAGACAAGGATGAATATTTAGCAACACCATCCAAAAATAAATAAGCTAAGTTGTCAAATTAATTAGCAAATAAATAATAGAAGTCAAGAACATACAAGCAACATTGTTGCACTTAGATAAGAACGGAAAGGAACTAATAAACGTTGCAAGCTTCAGTTAGAAAACGAAAACAATCGCAACCTAAAAGAGAACCTTGCGGTAATTGGGTGCACCATCAATATGGGGAACCAAGCGCTTGTTGTGGCAACCAGGAAAATGGTCGGTCTTGAGAATAGTTTTCTTACCCAGTACCGATCCATCTCTCTGTTTTATTACTTGTTCTGGTTCCTTTGGTATCGACATGTTCGCACTTACAATTCACTCCTCCAGTAATCAGTTCTTGATTTACGACACGTACAATTGATTGGTAAGATCAAGATGCTCGGACTTTCCACGATCTTGGAACTGGTGGAGGATACCTAGGTCAAAAAAGAAAGAGGAACTGCGCCCGGCTGCGGTTTCCTCGGCTGGTCGCCTTGCATATCAGTTCTCGTCACTGTCGTTAGGATTAGGAAGCACCTCTCAGCTTAAAAAAGATATATACATAATAATAATAATGAAAACCTGGTTGCAATTTTACCCTGGGCTTAGCAATGCGCTCAACAATGAAATACAAGAAATGAGCCTGATCAAAGAGAATACAAGAAATGGGCTCTTGTGATGGTTTAGTTTCGGATTGGTCTTTCAAATTTGGGATAGAAAGGCTAAAAGCCCTCCCTTTTATCATCTAGAGCACAAGAAACTCTGGTCAGCAATATATATCTTTTATATTTTCCTCTGTATTGTTGTAAACGAATATGGAGGGTGTGTTTCTTTCGAATTTGAAAATTTTAGTTTGAGTTGTATTTGAATTTCATAATACGTTTGGAGATTTATGTTTTTTTAGATTTGTGTGTTTGGTTTAAATTTTGAGATTTTGATATGTATTAATTTGATAGTTAATAATATAATAATGTAAATATATATTAAATTAAATTATGATTTGAGTATCTATTTATATTAATTATAAACAAATTTTAATATGTTTTTATTTATTTATATTATATAAAATTTTATTATTTTTAAATTATTGATATACATGAATATAATTTATAAAAATTTAATTATTAAAATAATTTAATAATTTATTTTTTGCAAGCTACATGTTCGTCTCAAGCCGCATGCATTTTGCTGTGTGGATAGTTGGGCACGTTATAACTATTGATGTTAGGTATCATATGGAAGGTTCAGCGTTGTTTTTTTTTATATATAAAAAAGTTTTATAAATTTATGTGTCAAAATAAAATATTATATTTTTTATGAATAAAAAAGTTATTACTTCCTTCAGTCTCAAAAAAAGTGCAATATTTGCATTTGATATTAGTTTTTAGATTGATAGTATTAAATAGATTAATTTAAAAATTAGATGATGTGACGGAGAGAAAAATGTATATTTTATTTTATTTTTTATTTGAATTGTGTGATGTGATAAATTGTAGGGTAGAGATTAAATATAATTAATTATTTTTTATTTTAAAAATATTACAGGGTATTTGAAACGAAGGAAATATTATTATTTATTTTTATTAAAATTTGTGTCCAAATATTTGAGTATAAATTTACTCGAGGGAGGGAGAAATTACTTTTAATGTTATTTTGTATTCTACGTTGTATATGTTTGAATAAATATTTATTACAAATAGTTGATACAGTTATTTAGATTGATAAATATATATGAAAAATAAATTTTAATTTTAGAGTTGATAGGCTTAGTATTGATTGGTTGGTGTTATGCCTTGGGCATTTTGCCTTTGGCCTTTGATACTTAGACTACATAGATTTGTCTGGTCTATTTTGTTTGACTTGGACTATATATCTTGTATTTGTAGAACTACGTATGGCTTGATCTTGTTTGGGTACGTAGGCAACCCACTTTGGGTGCAGCCATTGCAATATAATTTTTTTTAAAAAAACCTAAACCCTAAGCCATCCACTGACTTCCTAGCCATCATAAACCCTAACCGCGACTTCGCCACTGTTGTTCCACCACTTCGTCATTTTTCAATCAAAACTGTCATTAAGCTATCCGTTGATCCAACCATTTTTCGGCCACCGCACTACCGCCATTGTCTTCATCAACACCAAAAATCTTGAACCTAGTTACTCGCACAGCTGTATCACCGTTAGAGGCACCGGAAATACCCCCGATCAAAATCCATCCAAAACTGCATCATTGGAAAACTGCCCTCCCAGCCGGGTTTAGGATTTATGGTTTAGAGATGCAACTTGGCGGATATCTCATATATACAGAGAAATGAACCGCGTCTCGGTTGCCTTAGCGACTCTGGCGGTTTTTTTTATTGAGCAAACACTTCTCCCGACAGAAATGCCTTTGTCGATCAAAAGGTATTCTTCGAGCAGATGCAGATGGTCTCCCGATTTTCTATTTCAGGTAGCAAGCTTCACCCTCTTACTTGTTATTTGGGATACTTAGTGTTGATATTACTTAGACTTGATAAGGTCAGTATTGTTTTTTTGGTGTTAATGACTTAGGTATGTTGCCTTTGGCCTTTGATACTTAGACTACCCAGGCTTGTCTGATCCATTTTGTTTGACTAGGACTGTCTAGTTTATATCAACAGAACTACGTATGGCTTGATCCCATTTGGGTACGTAGGCAGCCCACTTTGGGTGCAGCCATTGCTATATAGTTTTTAAGAAAAAAATCTCTAAACCCTAAACCATCCATCGACTTCCCAGCCAAGAGAAACCCTAATCCCGACTTCGCCACTACTGTTCCACAACTTTGCCATTTTCCGATCAAAACTGCCATTAAGCTACCGTTGATCCAATGATTTTCTGGCCACCGCACTACCGCCATCGTCTTTATCAGCCCCAAAAATCCTAAACGTGGTTACTCGCACAGCTGTATCGCCGTCGGAGGCGCCGGAAATACCCCCGATCAAAATCTATCCAAAATTGCATCGCTGGAAAACTTCCCTTCCACCCGGGTTCAGGGTTTATGGTTTAAAGATGGTACTTGGCAGATATCTTACACATACAAAGAGAGGAACCGTGTCTTTGATGCCTTAGCGACTTTGGCGGTTTCTTTTTTCGAATGAGCGGACACTTCTCCCGACAGATATGCCTTCGTCGATCAAAAGTCTTATTCGAGCGGATGCAGATGGTCTCTCGACATTCTATTTCAGGTACAAAGATTCACCCTCTTACTTTTTATTTTGGGATACTTAGTGTTGATATTACTTAGACTTGATAGGGTCAGTATTGCTTGGTTGGTGTATGCCTTAGGTATATTGCCTTTGGCCTTTGATACTTAGACTACCCAGGCTTGTCTGATCCATTTTTTTTGACTGGGACTGTATAGCTTATATCATAAGAACTACGTATGGCTTGATCCCGTTTGGGTACGTAGGCAGCCCACTTTGGGTGCAGCCATTGGTATATAGTTTTTATGAAAAAAAACCCTAACCCCTAAACCATCCACCGACTTTTCAGCCATCAGAAACCCTAAGCCCGACTTCGCCACTGCTATTCCACAACTTCGCCATTTTCAGATCAAAACTGCCATTAAGCTATCCGTTGATCCAGCCACTTCCGGCCACTGCACTACCGCCATCGTCTTTATCAGCCTAAAAAACCCTAAACCTGGTTAGTCGCATAGCAGTATCACCGTTGGAGGCCCCGAAAATTCCCCCGATCAAAATCTATCCGAAATTGCATTGCCGGAAAACTTTCCTTCCACCCGGGTAGGGTTTATGGTTTAGAGATGGTACTTGGCAGATATCTTACACATACAAAGAGAGGAACCGTGTCTTTGATGCCTTAGCGACTTTGGCGGTTTCTTTTTTCGAATGAGCGGACACTTCTCCCGACAGATATGCCTTCGTCGATCAAAAGTCTTATTCGAGCGGATGCAGATGGTCTCTCAACATTCTATTTCAGGTACAAAGATTCACCATCTTACTTTTTATTTTGGGATACTTAGTGTTGATATTACCTAGACTTGATAGGGTCAGTATTGCTTGGTTGGTGTTGATGCCTTAGGTATATTGCCTTTGGCCTTTGATACTTAGACTACCCAGACTTGTCTGATCCATTTTTTTTGACTGGGACTGTATAGCTTATATCATAAGAACTACGTATGGCTTGATCCCGTTTGGGTACGTAGGCAGCCCACTTTGGGTGCAGCCATTGGTATATAGTTTTTATGAAAAAAAACCCTAACCCCTAAACCATCCACCGACTTTTCAGCCATCAGAAACCCTAAGCCCGACTTCGCCACTGCTATTCCACAACTTCGCCATTTTCAGATCAAAACTGCCATTAAGCTATCCGTTGATCCAGCCACTTCCGGCCACTGCACTACCGCCATCGTCTTTATCAGCCTAAAAAACCCTAAACCTGGTTAGTCGCATAGCAGTATCACTGTTGGAGGCCCCGAAAATACCCCCGATCAAAATCTATCCGAAATTGCATCGCCGGAAAACTTCCCTTCCACCCGGGTTCAGTGTTTATGGTTTAGAGATGGTACTTGGCAGATATCTTACACATACAAAGAGAGGAACCGTGTCTTTGATGCCTTAGCGACTTTGGCGGTTTCTTTTTTCGAATAAGCGGACACTTGTCCCGACAGATATGCCTTCGTCGATCAAAAGTCTTATTCGAGCGGATGCAGATGGTCTCTTGACATTCTATTTCCGGTAGAAAGATTCACCCTCTTACTTTTTATTTTGGGATACTTAGTGTTGATATTACTTAGACTTGATAGGGTCAGTATTGCTTGGTTGGTGTTGATGCCTTAGGTATGTTGCCTTTGGCCTTTGATACTTAGACTACCCAGGCTTGTCTGATCTATTTTGTTTGACTGAGACTGTATAGCTGATACTTAGACTAAACTTGGTTAGTCGCACAGTAGTATCACCGTTGGAGGCCCCGAAAATACCCCCGATCAAAATCTATCCGAAATTGCATCGCCGGAAAACTTCCTTTCCACCCGGGTTCAGGGTTTATGGTTTAGAGATGGTACTTGGCAGATATCTTACACATACAAAGAGAGTAACCGTGTCTTTGATGCCTTAGCGACTTTGGCAGTTTCTTTCTTCAAATGAACGGACACTTCTCCCGACAGATATGCCTTCGTCGATCAAAAGTCTCATTCGAGCGGATGCAGATGGTCTCTCGACATTCTATTTCAGGTAGAAAGATTCACCCTCTTACTTGTTATTTTGGGATACTTAGTGTTGATATTACTTAGACTTGATAGGGTCAGTATTGCTTGGTTGGTGTTGATGCCTTAGGTATGTTGCCTTTGGCCTTTGATACTTAGACTACCCAGGCTTGTTTGATCTATTTTGTTTGACTGAGACTGTATAGCCTGCATCAGCAGAACTACATATGGCTTGATCCCGTTTTGGTACGTATGCAGCCCCACTTTGGGTGCAGCCATTGTTATATAGTTTTTAAGAAAAAAACCCTAACCCCTAACCATCCACCGACTTCCCAGCCACTGCTGTTCCACAACTTCGCCATTTTCCGATCAAAACCGCCATTAAGCTATCCATTGATCCAGCCACTTCCGATCACTGCACTACCGTCATCGTCTTTATTAACCCCAAAAACCCTAAATATAGTTACTCGCACAGCAGTATCGCCATTGGAGGCCCCAAAACTACCCCGATAAAAATTCATGCAAAACTGCATCGCCAGA